GGATAGCCTTAACATTAAGTAACCAATGGAAGCTTCAAAATTTCACAATTAGAATACTTCTTCACACCTCCCATCAAGGGGAGGGGAGGGGGGAAAGGAAGGACTTGAAGGAGCAGTGTGAGATTACATGAGTGGATCCAGAAAATCCAGTGGCAGTCTGTTGTGCTTTCCAAAGCGGGTTTTTGTCTTCTGTTAATTTTTGAAGATAGAATGGAGCATGCAGCACAAGTTACAAGCCAGGTGAGCAAGCACAACTTGAATCCTGAAGGGTGCTGTTATCATGTATATTTGATGGGAAGGCAAGCGTGTGACTTTTACTATGAGTGGAACTCTAGTGCTATGGCAGGGGGATGAGCATTGCATTTGGGGCATTGCAACCTTGGCAGCTTGTATTGTTTTTGGGGATGGTGGCAATTGAAATTCAAAGTTTGGTAGCCATGTTTGATTGAATTTTCACAGACAAAGCACACCCGTTGCTCAGATCCAGATATGACTGGGCTCTTACATTCCTGACTATTGTGCAAGGAATTGATTTGGAATCCCTTGTCATGCTGATGACATTCCTTGCAGATTATTTTCACCAACCCAGTGGATGAGTCGACTTGCCAGGTGATGTCAGCAGATTCACAATCAGCTGCATGCCAGTTTTTTGTGGAAACACTGAGCAGGAGGTTGAGTGCTATTACAAGTTTCATCCCAATGAAACACATGATGTATAATTTTTTGACAGGGTGTGGGATTTGAACCAATAACTTGAGTGCTCCTGATCCTCAGGTGAAAGAGTTCTTAATGGCTTTATTATCCAGCTGGAGCACAGGGGATGGTGGTCAAAAAATCCATTGACATATTTAAAGTGGTGGGATCAGCACAGGATTCAGTAAAATATTCTGTGTAATCAGGAAATACAAGATAAGAAAATTAAAACATAATCTAATATTTACCATCAATCCAGTCTGTGTACTTCTTTAGATTTAATTGCATTAGAAACTCCCAATATTCCCCTGGGCCTCTGAGATTGAAAACCTGAAATAATAATTGCATGTCCTTCCATCACAAACCCCTCTTTTTTACGGGGATATAGATTTTTACAAGTCTATTTTTGCAAGGCTCAAGCCTCTCAACCAATTACCCTTGTAAAAACCAACTTGCACCCCCTGCAGCC